CCATCCCTAACGTAGCTGCGAAAACCGTGACTAGCACTTTTGTCGACCGCTCGGTCGCTTCACATGCCTGTCCAGCCAGAGTGACCATCAACCGCGGTCCGCAATTCGAATCTTCGACCTTTAACGATCTTCTTAAACTCATTAGATGCCCACGCATTCGCACGACCGCCTATGATCCCCAGACGAACGGCATGGTGGAAAGTTTCCATCGACAGCTGAAAGCCTCACTTAGCGCCGCCAATGCGCTGAGTTGGATTGCTTAAGGACTGCCTATGATCCTCTTTGAGATCCGATCAGTGATAAAGGCTGATCTACATACGTCTAGCGCCAAGTTAGTATATGGACAACCACTACATTTACCCGGCGAATTCTTCTCCGGTCTTTCCAGAATTACAATGTACGACGCGAATTATGCTCGTCAGCTAGCCACGAGCATGCGTCACTACAAGATTCCCGAAATCAGAGAACAACAATGTAAGTTTCGTTCCACAAGACATATAACACGGTTCGTTCGTTTTCCTCCGCGTCGATGGTCTCCGCAGACCACTAGAGCGACCTTATGAAGGTCCTTTCAAGGTCCTGCAGAGTAAGGATCGAGTCTTTATCATCGACCATCAAGTTAAAGGAGAATCCGTTACGATTGACCGTCTCAAGGTTGTCCACCTGGAACCTGACCTCGATGAAGACCCTTGCCCGTCTTCTGACGAACAAACGGCCTATGGTGGAAGACTCATCTACTTCCAACATCCTTGACCTCAAGCATCACCCTCAATCTAAGCCTTCCACTTCAGCTCCACCGCTTCCCATCAAACCAACCGCCACGTCTTCAGCAATTCCTCCAAGTTTGCGATCAGATAGAATGTCTAAGACGACGCCTTCCTCCGATCCGCACAAGTCGACTAGGTCGGATAGGCGCGTTCATTGGCCAGCGCGATTGAGGGATTAGTGCACCTTTCACATTTGTTTTCTCGTTTTTTCCTTTCTCGCCAACACCGTACGAAAACCCAAAAAAATCGGCAAAAGCTTTTGACAACGCCAAAAAACGGACAAAAGTTTCTGAAAACCCAAAAAGTACGCAAAACGTTTAGAAAACCCGAAAAAGAAACGTTTTGAAAACACAAAAAGTTGCGTTTTACTTGACGCCTACCTCATCCGGTAACTGTCATTCTTACACAAGCTTGTAGTGACTCGTTGTTAAACGATTTTACTGAATTGGTTTCCATTGAATTTTTCACACTTCTATGATTTTCGCACTGATCACCCTACGGGATTTGTCAAGCTTTAGCTTTTATACCCGCATAAATCCATTGTTCCATTACTTTTATCCTCGCCACCACTGTCACTGCTCTTGCTTCCGTTTATCTTCCCAGTATGAACCAAAGGAGATGACGAGCCTGAAGTGAACATTTGGCATTCACAAGCTTGCGGACATTTGACGCATATGAACTTCCCCCCATTTTGTTTTTGGCACCTTTAAGGAGGACACGGTTGGGAGTCCGCTCGCCTGGTTCTCCACCAGCAGCTGCATCAGCTTTCACTACCTGGTCTCGCGACGGACAGTCCTCACAAAGATCGGAGGGTCACCCACGGTTTCCCTTCTAGGAGGGGGGCTGTGTAGTGACCTGGAGGTTCCCCGTATGACTGTGTAAATTACTCTAAAATATTATATAATTAGTTTTCTTATGTATTAGGGAATTAGGTGGTTTGCCTGTTGGAACGTTGTTCCCGTTTGTTTGAAACACGAATATGATATCCGCCCTTGCGGCGCGCGACTCGGCTGCGAACGACGTCTCGTCCACACACGACGTCTAACTACATCCTCCCTAGAAGCCCTCTTCTGGTACCCTATATTTAGTCTTAGCTAGAACTTCTCCCGTTCAATAAACCTTTTCCCTAGCTTATTTTCGTGTGTTCTCCCGTACGCTCACGGTTAGTCGTTTAGCCTCGTACCGGATATATAGCGCAGGATCGACGCGCTACGGATGATCTCTAAATATTCTTACATAAATGGTAAATTTCTGTTTTCAGCCCTAAGTTCCAAATGTTGGGTACGTAAACGCAGCATATATGTATGCTTATTGTTATATGTAGTCGCATGCACACATATATTTCACACTGGCGGCCGCACAGCCATTAGAAATCTCTGTTTTTACAATATTCACTTATCACAACAGCAGTTATTTACCTACATATCCTAACTTGTGTTCTATTAGTTATACGTATAGTAGACCACTTCAAAAGAAATTCCACAAAAGTATACAAAATCAACGTTTGTTGCGAGATAGGTCATGGGTTCGAATCCGGCAGGATTCGGCGGGTGCGCGCTACTGACGAGTCCCAATAGGACGGAACGGCCGTCTAGCGCTTTCCTGGATGTGTGGTGGCTGTCTGCCTGTGTCTAATTGCGAGGAACCTACACAAAAACCTAATAAATCCCCCTACTACTTACAAATTATTATACTTCGTCCAATTTAATTATTCGAATTTTCGATGTGCTGACTAGTGGAACGCCGCCGTTTAGGATCGATGCATATGCCTAACAAAACCGACTTCGTAGTGACTACTGCAACTGGATCAAACTACTCTGTCGGCTCAGCAAAGTTGGCAATTGCGCTCAAAATGGATAAGGCGCTGCAATTAGCTTTTCTCAAAAGCAATAGACGTTTTCTTAGCTGACCATGCTAATGACAGTCGCGCGGATTCGTCCAAAGACAGGTAAGCACTCCCTTCGAATTTCCCCAAGACATGCTGGGACAATGGTCAACGATAGCTATGTTGGCTTCACATGACTGGACAGAATCATGGTCAAACGAGCCAAAGCTTAAACGCTACATGGAAGCAATGCCCGCGATGGTCATAAAGTATGCTGACACAACCAGAAACTCGAGCAAGCGTCCAGATTTAAACAGGGTGCTTGGCAAATCTCCTAGTATTTTAACCACACTACTGCACATAGTGAACTCTCCCACGAGCTCGCCTCGACGAATGGAGCAAGTTGCAGTGCTCAATCTTTCCTCTACTCTTCAAAGTCTGGTCGAAATGATCCCGAATGGCTCACTTTCCTTACACTTCCTCCGGCGGATAAGTGCTGTTAAGCAAAGGGTTAACAAACGTTGTTTCCATGGATGATAGCTCTTTAAATCCAAGGTAGCTGTAAGATGCAAGCACCACTGACGCGTAGCATCGCACGGTTTGGTGCGTACCTTGCGCCTTAATAATGTATAAAAAACTGGTGCATGACTGCGCCGATTCGTTCCCAATTCTCAAAATTACAGAAGAGTAGTAAGGGGAGTTGTATGGTACAAGTAGAAATTGGTCACATCTAGACACACTCAGACAGCCGCCACACGCCCTGAAAAGCACTGTACGCGCGTTTCATCCTTTCGGGAATCATCAGCAGTGCACATTCCATCGGACCCTTGGTAGGGCTCGAACCCGCAACTCGACTGTTGCCAGTCCGTGGTTGAGACCACTGAGCTACGGAGGATGGCAACGACCATTGTGAATAAGTTACTAGATGTGATATAGCGCTGCTCACTATACACTGACTTACTGCCGTGCAGAGGACAGGAAGGCCCCCCCACCAAGCGACGAGCTTACCAAACTTAAGCCGCTAATTAACTCATGGCATTATGAGCAGTTTGTTCTGCGTACTGATTACAGAGAAGTAGTAGGGGGAGCTGATTGGTATAGGTAGAAATTCGTCACATCTAGACACACTCAGACAGCCGCCACACGCCCTGAAAAGCACTGTACGCGCGTTTCATCCTTTCGGGAATCATCAGCAGTGCGCATTACATCGGACCCTTGGTAGGGCTCGAACCCGCAACTGGACTGTTGCCAGTCCATGGTTGAGACCACTGAGCTACCGAGTAACTGCTCGTAGCTACCAATCAGTTCGCTCATTTGGGTGGTAGTACCAATTCTGACGGCATCCACGCCGAATAGGTTACGAAACTTTATGCCATAGCCCTGTGGTTGTACAAAGCACAACCATTTGTGGAGACGTCAATATGTAATCTCAAATGTTGAGGGCCTACAACGCTGCAGTGCGGTGCGCTATTGCATGGATCGAAGACTGCTGAAGACATCCGTGACCCACCATGCTTAAAGGTAGTTAATGAATTATGAAGGAGTACTGGTGGCCGAAAAGTGAAATAGCCGTGCGAAGAAGAGGTAGATTCCACATGACCATATGACACGCATGGCGATCGATGCATGTGCAAAATCACAGCCGCTCAAACGTGTATCAGTGTGGTGTCCGATCGCTCGCGCAGAGACCCAAGCAATCCAACGACTCACATAAATTAGACAGGCTTCCGCGGTAAACATCTGTTAGAGCGATGCATGTGAAACGGTGATAAATAATGGCCTCAAACCAACGTAATGGAACTGTGCTGACAGTCATGGATTGATCGTATCTCGAGGTGCTGTTAGTTAATGACCATGAATGATATCAAGAATATCATTTGGTGAACAGAAGTAAAAGTGACTACAAGTGTTGCCGTGGTATTGCAACTGGGTGGATCAGGTAACACAGGAAATCCGTTAACTACAATTTTAACGTAAAAATGGACTAGGACGTAGACCTTCCTATTGGTTTGAGGTCACATGCTCAGAAACAAAGAGGTGCAGATCAAGGAAGTGTCGATGGGGAAGCAAAATCTGAAAATCACACAAGGAAAAGATTAGGGACTGCGGATGGGATGGAAACTGAGAGTAATCTTTTGCGAAATGTTATGGAATCGATAGCAACCAGCCAAATGAGAGTATCGATCTGGAAGAGAGTAAACAAAAGTTGGCGAGAAAGTGGGTCATGTTAATCGAACAGGGCTAAAAGGGTAGGGGGACCATAAACTTCTGGTCATGTGTGATAGTTCAGAAGCTATGAGTTATCAGCGATTCTCGGTGCAGTGACGTCGATAACAAAACCCAGGGAATGGAAAGAGAAGGCTAAGAAGTGAATGTGGAAACCAGTGAAAACGATGTGCACCACTTACGTGTGATGCAATCTCCCCGGTAGATGAGAAAAGGGGGAATTTTTTGGCCCACTCCATTGGCTGCTCCAAGCATAGCGACGGTAGGATTCCAATAACTGACAGACTGAGCACGCTGTATACTTATTGGAAGAATTCGGGGAGGCTGATTCTCACAGCTGATACTGACTTCATCCACGATCCAAAAATGTTCCGGTCTATCCTTAATGGCGTACTTCGTGAGAACCTGCGAACAGGGCGTTTATAACATATTTGTGAGTATAACAGCTATCAGAAAATAGCGCTCGAACTGTAGGTTGATCAAGTGAGGATTAATGTAAACGGACAACTTTAACCGTTAGGCTGGGTAAGTTCTAGCGTTCCGTGATAAGTCTGTGCTCATTAGGCAACGATTAAATGTAGGCATATAAATGCCTTCCAATGAAGTATATGCAGTGCGAACGAGCACATTGGATAAGATATACGTCCAACGGGATAAAGGCTAAGAAGTCTAGGTCCGATGAACACGCTACAAGCAATGTATGAGCCCACACAGAGTATGGTCCTAAAATAACGACACAATACAGATGAAAAGAGGCCTTTCTAATTAGGTAAGGGTTTAAGCTCAATAGGCCTCGGTCTTGTGGAAACAAGGAGCAACCAACATTGTTTTTGCACTAGAATGAGAAATACAGGTGAACCAATGAAAAAGAGCATTAGAAGTACGTCGGTACTGCGTACCGACGCTTCGCTTCCGCGCAACCACCAGTCGCACGAAGGCGAAGGATACTAAGAGGGTCGCCCGGTCCGTATGCAGTCTCGAAGCCACGTCTTCGGACTACAAGGCATGCTTGTGGTCCTTAAGGCAGCTGAGGTCTTTACCTCTAAACCAGAGTAGTGGTGAGAAGCGCTCGTCACAACAGTGAATATACTCAAATGAAGCGCAGTGTTGCTGTCCCAATAGTCGAATTCACCAATGTTCACTATAATGCGAATCGCAGTCCACATTGAGATTGTGCACCGCAATTCACTTGCACGATTTGTGCTGCAAACTGACCCTAACAAAAAAGAAACCGATGTGTGGAAGGCCAGTCAGAGGCACGTTATAAAATGCTTAGAACATCTGCAATAACGTGCTCCGCCCTAGAAGTTGACGATGAGATTGACACATTCAGAAAAAAAATCCGCTTTTTATGGTCACCAAGCACATTCTGGTGTAGATGATGAACATAGATAGAAGGAGAGCGATTTCTGCTCTGGTTGACGCAAGGCAGAGAAGGTTTTGTTTTGTGCGGAATATTTTATATGCTGATGATGACTCAGAGGAACACGAAGGACTGGTAAATGGAAGGAAGCATTATCGATTTGCACCCAAAGTAGCACTGCATCAATCCTTTTGCTGTCAATTAAACAAACAATCAAGTCAAGTGCTTTGTGTACCTAGAACGGGTGAATATTCAGCCATAACACACATGCTTTCAGTGATAAAATACAAGATGTAAACGTAATTTAGAAAAGTGGATCGACAATTGAAAAAAAACAAAATAATCACAACGTAATCCGTTACGTTAATTAGTAAACAACCCTGTTTTGGTTTAGAGAAATGGCGCAAGGTAAGGGAGAACTGACGAACGGTACGTTCGTACTTCTCTCTGGTTGGCAAGGTTGACACACATTCTGACGATACACAATGAAGTGGGTGATTTATGTCTGCAAGTACTGTTGGTGTTAGTCTCTTTCAATAATCAACATGAGTGGATATAAGTAGATCAACAAACGTCAGCTTTAATACACCGCTGAATCGCGACAAGTGTTTTAAAGACCTGGAGATTAATCTGAAGTCTTTGCTCAATCGACCAGAAAAGTCACTGGTGAGCAGTTGATAGGTGGGCGAGAAATCTGATTGCCAACGCACGTGTTCGCCACAAAGCCTGCTTGGGACAAACCCCACGAGCGTGCAGCCACGACCCAGACGAAAGCTGATGAAATCGCGCATCAAACATCATGTACCTTGCCATGCCCCTGGTAGGTGGATGAAGACTGGCGTGCCCCAGCAAGACGGTGAACTGGTCAGACGGAGCGAATAGTCAAGTGTGGAGCGTGGGCCTACGAAGAAGACAGGTAACCAAATCCGCCAGGCGGTGTTTACAGAATTGGTGAGACCGACCCATAAATATGAGCGTTCTCGGTTTTAATACAACTCTGGTCGGCTGAGTCTTCTTCTGTTTTCCTTCCTGTCGGGTTGGCCAAGGCGTCAAGCAGAGCAGGTGTAAGGGCGTAGATTTACCACAAGGTGTGAACCTACCGGTCGATTGCGGGTACAGCGACATAACAGTGGCGACGCGAGTTCAACCGAGCCCAGAAATGACAATCAGCTTTGAATAACTGCAAATGCTTTTGCAGCAACAAAAGGCGCAGTTTGAAGCATCCCAGGCCAAAGTGATCGAGATGCTAACTCAGAAGCTGACATTGCAGTCAAGCTCAGGGTTAGGGACAAGTGAAAGTGCTCCCTCGCCAGAAACCCTGACTCAGCAGATCAGTGAGTTTCATCATGACGCCGATGCCGGTATAACATTTGTTTGTTGGTTCCACAAGTATGAAGTCATGTTCCGGGTTGGTTTCGCCAACCTTCCAGCGGAAAAGAAGATTCGACTATGCTGCGGAACCTTCGTGCTGCCGAACACGAGAACTTCACCAATGTTATCTTACCTAAAAGGAGTACCGATGTGTCGTTCGATGAAGTGGTCGCACTCCTGTTGCAAATATAAGGACATCTTTGTTCAACACCTGGTACAAGTGTCTGACAATAATGAAAAAGAAAACGAAGACTGGGTTGACTATTCCAGCCGTGTGAATCGAGAGTGCGAACGGTCACAACTACACAATATGACAAGTGACCAGTTTAAATGTCTCATATACGTTTGTGGCCTACACGCATTTGAAGACGCCGGCATTCGAACAAGAATACTGAACAAAATTGAGCAGAATCCGGACGTCACATTGCAGCAAGTGACCGGTGAGTGCCAACGCATGACGAATTTGAAGCACGATACCGCAATAACTCAGCAGTTGTCCAATCAAAACGATCAAGATTTTGTCTGTGCAGTCAGCCGTACTCTCCAAAAAGAAGGTACCCACGTGAGTTCACCGCATCCTAAACCTCCCACTGCATGTTGGTTTTGCAGAGAGTGGCAGTTTGCCAGAGAGTGCCCATTCAAAACTCACACTTGCAACCGTTGCGGCAGAAAGGGGCATAATGAGTCATGTTGCCTGGTGAGTCGTCCAGTTTTGACCAAGAAGATGCGTAACAGTGCCAGATCGTTCCAGCGTCCCAATTTGACCAGCTCTATCACCGCAACTTTCAAGGTTGATGGGGCCAGCAAGCGCAAATATACACAATTGTGAAAATCAACGGCTTCCAAGTCAAGTTACAAATCGACACGGCTTCAGATATCACCCTGATATCTCGCGACACTTGGTACATGCTGGGGCGACCGACACTCATACAAAGGGGCCACACGGCACGGAATGCCTCAGGGGTGAGATTTGTTGGGTGAGATTTGTTGGGGCTCGACTGGATGGATGAACTGAAACTGCTTGATCAATCAGTGGAGAGCATATGTCAGCCACAGCAAGTCAATCTGCTGTCTCAACGGTCGACATCAAGCTCGATGTTTTAAAGTCAAAGTACCGAGATAAAACGACGTCACGATGCATTGTTTCAACCTGGTCTCGGATGCTGCAACACAGTTACTGCCGCGTTGAACCTAAAACTATACGCCAAGCGATTCTTTAGACCAAGACGCCCGGTGCCCTACGCAACCCAGTTCTTAGTGGAAACCGAGTTAAAGCGACTACAATCTGAAGGGATAACGGAACGAGTACACTATTTAGAATGGGCAGCACCTATCGTGGTGATAAAGAAAGGAAACGGTAAAGTCCTTATTTGTGCTGATTTCTCGACAGTTTTGAATTCTGTGTTGGAAGATCATCAGTATACCCTGCCGGTACCAGAAGACTTGTTCAGCAAGCTCAATAGGGGAAACTTTTTCGCAAAAATTGACCTAGCTGACGCGTATCTGCGAATCCCAGGTGTCCATTAGTGCAGAACATTACTGACAGTAAATACCCACGTCGGACTTTTTCAGTACAACCGGCTGCCGTTCGGAGTGAAAATCGCACCGGTCATTTTTTAACGAATAATGGATACCCTGCTGAGCGATATCCCAAATACCGCAGTATACTTGAAAGATGCGTTGAGTATGGGCTCAGATTCGCAAGAGTTGATACAGACACTGGAGAGAGTGCTTTCGCGTCTCCAAGGAGCTGGATTCCGAGTACGGGATGAAAAATGTGATTTCCTATTAGAAAGTGTCAAATTTTTTGGGTTTATCAACGACAAACATGGCCGGCGCCCGGATCCTGCCAATGTTGAAGCCATCAAAAATATGAAGTCCCCAGAAGACATTTCAGAGCTCCGCTCGTTACTTGGGCTTGTCAGCCATTATAGCGCTTTCCTACCAAGCCTTCACTAAACCAGGGGTTTGCTGTACCAGCTACTGACAAAAGACAAAGGTTGGAAATGGACGAAGGAGTGCCAGCAGTCTTTTGATGCAGTCAAAGCAGTCCTCACTTCTGATCTACTCTCGACTCACTTCAATCCGAATTTCAAAATTGTCGTTGCTACGGATGTTCCCAATTATGGCGTCAGTGCAGTTATCTCCCAGGTTTTTCCGCATGGAGGAGAGAATGCTATCGAGCACGCAGCATGGTCACTAACGGCAGCTGAGAAGAACTACAGCCAGATAAAGAAGGAAGCGTTCGCGGTCGTTTTCGCAATGAAACGGTTCCATAAGATGCTGTTTGGCAGACATTTCACACTCCTGACTGACTACAATCCACTTCTGTCGATGTTCGGGTCAAAGAGAGGAATTCCAATTTTTACGGCAAGCCGATTGCAACGATGGGCGACCATACTACTGGTGTACGACTTCAGTATACAGTATAAACCGACGCAACGAATCGGTCAAGCCGATGCTCTGTCTCGTCACATCAGTTCACACCCAAAAGAGAACGATGATTGTATGATCGCAGCTATCAGTTTCGAATCAGAAGTCCAACGAATCCTGACTGATAATGTGAGAAGACTACCAATAACAGACGACACCATTCGACATCACGCCACAGGATTTTGGAAAAAGCGATGCAGTGAGTACGAACATTTTGGCCAAATGGAGGCATATCTAT